TGGTTATGCGTTTGGTTAAATTACCCACAATCCTGTGCTGTATCACAATCACTGCTTTATGACCAAACACCTCCCCATCCAGGAACAAAAACATTAACTAGAAGGAAATAAACGTCTGTTAATGTCGGACCGATTGGTAATACTGACACTGATGTGTTTAAAAATGAAAAAGTTCAGCCACTAGCAATGGTAGCTCCCATATCTGCATTGCTGGTTATAAGACTCTGATTCATGTTGCCTCTTTAGGCGCTCATATTGGATCAGGACCTGGTTTCTACTTGAGGAAATGCTCATTAATCGGTGTTGCTGCATTTTACGTACCTGATTTCATCAGAAACTGATGCATTTATTTAAAATTGCTGATTAAAATTCTTCGTACAGTAAAACTAAGCCCAGAGCATCTTCTGTTTGTATTAAAATGCAACAGAGAAAAAGGGGTTTGAGTCTGAGTAACCTGATTATCATGTAAATGTGCCTAAACCAGCTTAACAGAAAGGCTCTGCATTAAATCAAGGAGGAAATCTGGGAGTAAAAGCGCGGCAGAGCAGGTCTGAGGAGACTTTTCTGCGTTCATCTCAGGGTTAGTCAGTCAACCAGCCAGAAATCGCTTTCAAATACAATCACACGCTGCAGTGACCACGACACACACCCTGAGCTGGATGATAGCTCCGAGAAATGCCTTGTGGCAGCTCTGCAGCTCATACACACCAAAACGGTGCATTTCTACAGGAGGGTCAAAATTCTGCATTAAATATCAGCATGTAAACACGCTCGGATGTCATGTTCTGGACCATTACATTCACACTGGAGCTCAGAGCTGGTTGCTGGATGTAATTTAGAGGAAAGCGCTGCGAAAAGACTGAATCGAACAGAACCATGAATCAGCAGTTTGGAAAAGTCCAGTCGGCGGTTTTTCCTCAAGGCCCGCAGACGGCGATGGGGAGCAGGAAATAAAAACAGAGAAGTCAAACATATTCTACAAGCAACATCCTGAACGCCTCATGAATCCCCCTCTGAATAAATGAAGCCAAACCTGGAATCACCCCATCCATCATCTGATCACTGATCGAACCAAAACAACAATCCCTACTTTGAATTCATGTGAGAGGCTCACCTTTCAGGACCTGCCATGGATCTGACTGGAATATAAATGATGGACAGTTTGGTTTTATTTCTGGTTGAATCGGGTCTGCCTGCTGAAATAATCAGAACAGCTTTAAGTAAACAAATATTTGCTGGTATCATAAAACCAGAGGTAGGATGTAAATATGTGCATTTACTAATAAATGTATAATATTTTTACTCTTACCTGAGGAATATCGTTTAGAAGAAACGCTATTATTACCTCTACTGCATTTACTTCATGAATGACAAAAAAATTAGCCAGAAAAACAAACTTTACTTTAAATTGACTTCCTATCATTTTATGGTAAACAGTGGAAAGTTTGGAAATGTTTCAGTCCTTCACTCATTTCCTTTTATTTATTCTATTTTCTTTTTTCATGGTGTTTTAAATCTTGAATTTTATTATTTAAATCCCAGAGCTTGTGTGTAACTTCACACTCTTAGAGGGGGTATTTCTTCACAGACGATGCTTTTTAAACTCGTAGGGAAACGGCCGTTCCAATGGTTTCTCCCGAATTCTCCTGAGTGGTTCACGACTTTACACAAGTAAATAAAATTAAATTGATTGGTCGTTTATCAAGGTGGCGGGGTTGTTGTGATGGAAGGTTCGCAAACAAGATTGGTTGTGGCCGGTTTCTCTGAAGCCTCTTGCTAACCAGTTAGCAACTCTAGTAGGTTCCCAATGGGAAATTCCATTGGGACCAAGTAGCACTAAATTGGTGACTTAGAAACGACACTGTCAAGGAACGCTATGGACAGCGGAAACATGCAAGAGGAGGAGAGTTTACTGTCGGAGGTCATGGATGAGTCTCCTCAGTCATACATTTTTTATTTAGAGGAGGAAAGCGGGGACGAAGATGTCATGGAAAAGGACGCCAGGGCGGCAGAAGCTTGGTTTGGTGTAGAAGGCTTACAGCCGTACATATTTGAGCCCTTGCCTCGCAACGCTGCCAGTTCTGTTAGCTCTACGCCTGCTGAAGACACAGACGTTCATCCCCGTGAACACTGGGATGGAACTCAATGGGAAAGGAAATGATTCTCATTTCAACCGTTGCGTATATTAGCTGCGACATATGAATCAAGATGCTATGACCGAAAAAATGTGATTGACAGATGACCGTTGATATATGATTGGCCGAATTTAGGTGTTCAGGCTGACGTATAACTAAAAACTGAAATTTTCTACATTTTGGGACAATATCTGATAAAGAGTACATTTATATACATGTTTAAGCCAGAATGATTTGACATTTAAATATGATTTCCCTGCCATCAGGTCCAGCTCTAAACATCTGTGACTTAAACTGGATTAAAACTTTCCTTAACCGTCTCCAAAGTTATGCTGCTAAAACATTCTAACTATTTCCTCAGCCCAGATTCTTTGTTGAGCAATGTGTGCTCTGACTGAATCACTAATGGAGCTATTGCTGTGAGCAATCACCCTGATTTTACATTTCCCATAGAAAGTATTCCTGGTCCAGTGCTTCTGTTCATGTTTTCACTGATAACATCACTGCTAAATTAATTTTACCCCATATGCATGTTCTGCATCTATTCAATTCAATTCAGTTTATCTATAGCACTAATTCACAACACAGGTCATCTCAAGGCGCTTTACAGTTCAACCAGATCATACAGTCAGATTGATGCAAAGTTTTCTATCTAAGGAAAACCAGTTGATTGCATCGCCTCATTAACTCGAAGGCAATCCCTCATACTAAGCATGCTTGTAGCGACAGTGGAGAGGAAAAACTCCTTTTTAACAGGAAGAAACCTCCAGCAGAACCAGGCTCAGTGTGAGCGGCCATCTGCTGAGGCTGACTGGAGTTCAAGGAGACAGAAGCAGAGAAAAAGAAAGAAGAGAAACAAACAGCAACCCTAGAACCAGCTCCACAAAAGCGTACAAGAAACACACAGCCAGGCAGACGAGCTCCGAGCCAGCTCCCATGTCAGAGGATGAAGAGAGCACATCCAGTTAGTCACAGTCAGAGAAACAGGACCACACTGGAAAACAGGCCGATCTCCAACATCTATAAACAAAGGTGTTGATGGCAGCAGTAGAGCTGATATTTCTCTCTGTGTGTTAATAGAAAGTGCTCCATGCTGCAGTGGTTCACTCTCCACCCAACCAAGGCAGATGGAAGCTCCTCCTCATCCTGGTTACTCTCCATCTCTCCTTCCTGATGCTGCTATGTGGTTGCTCAGTATTGGGGGGATTGCTGCTATTATCTGAGCTTCCTTAGATAAATAATAACTAACATTTTATTAATTTTTAGTAACAAATGTTTCATAGTCCAAACTGAAACTGTATGAACTCATCTTTCATCTAAGAACACATGAGAATCTGTTGCAGATCTGCTGCAACTTGACGCTTTACAAAAACACCTGCAAACTAAAAAAGTAAGAGTGTGAGGAAAATGTGCAAGAAAGCCAAAATAAAGTCTGGAAGCCATGAGAAAAACTGAAAACTGAGATTTTTTATCACCTCTGCTTATAACTATGAGACAGAGAAGAGCTAAAAGATGCAGAATAAAGACAAAAACAACACACAGCCTGACTTCAGGTCAGGAAGACCTGCTCTGGGTCAGTGGGGGAAATGTTTTCACGATGAATGCAGCCAAAACCTGACTTAAAAATTCAACTTAGCACAAAGTAATATTACATAAAGAATATTCATAAAGTTTAAAACTGAAGAAAGAAAGAAAGAAAGAAAGAAAGAAAGAAAGAAAGAAAGAAAGAAAGAAAGAAAGAAAGAAAGAAAGAAAGAAAGAAAGAAAGAAAGAAAGAAAGAAAGAAAGAAAGAAAGAAAGAAAGAAAGAAAGAAAGAAAGAAAGAAAGAAAGAAAGAAAGAAAGAAAGAAAGAAAGAAAGAAAGAAAGAAAGAAAGAAAGAAAGAAAGAAAGAAAGAAAGAAAGAAAGAAAATGTTTGTAGCCATCTTGATGCTTCATTGGAAAATGTGAGGAACCTGGTGGATGAGGCTGAGAGCGCCACACCTTCCAGAAACAGTCTGCGTTTTCATCAACAGATCCAGGCTGATGTGAGAAACCACAGAGGTCTGATTTGTAAATTTATTCAGGGACGAATGGAAGGAGCTGTCAGAGCAAAGACAGCTCAGCTTTGTTAGAGGCAGCAGTGTTGTCAGAAATGAAGCAACACATTCTGCCTGCAAACAAGGCAGAGAAACAAAACTTTACACTAAACAACAGACTGAGGATTAAAAATCCAGGTGGGTCAATTTTCCCTCCATTGGTTCTAACCTGTGATCATCAAGCCCAATAATGACCAAACCAATGGATCCAAACCATCTTCTGTCTGGGTAATAAGAATCAGAGGAAGGTGATGCTTTAAATAAAAAAAAAGTTCAACACTTTTTCCCTTATTTGCATTTAGGAGCTTTGAACAACAGTCTGCATCAGCAGGTGGAAAAGTCTGCCTCGAAATAAAAGCTAAAGGACAAAGAGGAGCATTCCTGTTGGGTTTTAGAGCCTGTTTGGTGAAGTTTGAAGGTTTATAGGAATAAGCAGCAACAGAAACCTGGAATTACTGCGTGCATTTCCCACATTCCTTCCTCTAGTAAACACTTCCTGCCTTGTTATTACCAATTCACCACCTGGGCCGGCGGCGTCACCTGGTGCGTGCTGTAACTGAGAAAAGACCCTCATCTATAATGAAGAAGCCACTACACGGTCGCATTTTCACCTGATTTAAAAGTCAGATAGCAGGGAGCCCGGCGTGCACCTGCTCTCTGCACTCAGCCTGATGGTTTGAAACCCTCTGGTGTCTGAGGAGGAGTCCAGCCGGCGCTTGGAGCTCCTTCAGCACCGATTATCTGCTGATAAGCTGCCCTGCCTGCGGCGCGCCGCCCTCACACTCACTCAGAAGGTGTGTGTTGTACTTGCTGGTGTAGTAGTAAACGTCTTCGTAGCCCTCCTGGTAGTCGTCGTCCGCCCGGTACCTTCTCCCCCGCCTCCTCCTGCTCAGGAGGCGCAGTAGGGCCAGGAACCGCTCCATCCTGGAGATCCCCACCACGCCGGGGGTCCAAAGTGAGCTGAAAGCGGGCCGGGCTAAGCTAGCAGCGATGCTGAGGACGATGGGAGCAGCTCCACACGGGCAGACGGGGAGAGGGATCAGGTTTCCTCCTCCTCCTCCTGGCTTTCTGTTCGCTGCTGCACTCACACACACCTCTGGAAGCCTCACACACACAGAAACATTAGCGAGAACACACACTCTCTCTCGCTCTCACACACTTGCTCTTTGTATTCTCTGCAGCCCTCCTCTCCTCCTCTGTTCCCGTCTTCTTTTGGCTGTTGGTGCATCTCGCCGGGCTCAGCCAATCACAAGCCTCGCCTCACACACACACAAAACACTCCTTCATCTCAGCTCTCCAATGTGTGCTTCATCTCCTTCGTTAGCTCCTTCCTTCCTTTGTCATCCTGTCCTCCTCCTCATCCATGTTTCCCACCTTCCTCTCCTCCTCCTCCTCCTCCTCCTCCTCCTCCTCCTCCTCCTCCTCCTCCTCCTCCCTCTGAGCATGAGGGGAGAGCTCCAGATTCCTCAGCCTGGTCTGTAATTACATGCTGAGAGGCAGAGGAGGCATTTTTTCCCGCTCTCTGCTCCACCTTTTGGAAACAACACCTGGTCAGCGTTTCTCAGTTTCTTCCTGTGAACGGAACCGATGATCAAACACCAGAACCCGCTGAAGATGGTGGAAAATGATCAGGAGCTTCTGGGTGATTTTGGAAAACTGAGCAAACTCTTCCTGTTTTAATTCTGCCTGCAGACCTGGATTAATCCACCAATATTCTTGTTCAATTTTCCACAACTTTCCTTGAAAAACTATAAACATCTTTTGTATTTTACTGAGAGGTGAAGCAGTCCAAACTTCCCTCTTTATGTAGAAAACTGAGACCTTAGATCAGGCTTCACAGGATGCAGCAAACTAGAGCCTTAGAGGGGGACTTTCACCTGTCAGAAGGACCACAACCCTAAAAACAGACAGCCAGAAATTTAACGGGAGGTTTGGATTGAAATATATTCATGTCCAAGAACGGCCTAGTCAAAGCCCAGACCTAAATATGGTTAAACATAAGACTAAACTAAAACTGATGTTTACAGAAGCTGGTGAAGAGGACCTGCAGGACAGAGCTCAGTCAGAACACCTCTGATGTCATCAAACTAAGCACAGGCTGTTCACCCTGATGACACACGACTGCGCCCTCAGATTCACCATCAATCACATGGTGAAGTTTGCAGACGACACCACGGTGGTGGGCCTCATCAGAAACGACAACGACCTGAACTACAGAGAGGAGGTGGAGCAGCTGGTGGACTGGTGCAGAGATAACAGCCTGATCCTGAACGTGGAGAAGATGAAGGAGATCATCTTGGACTTCAGGAAGAACCGTTCTAACTACGCTCCACTGCTCATCAACAGCTCAGCTGTAGAGGTGGTCAACAGCACCAAATTCCTGGGGGTGCACATCACAGACACCCTCACCTGCCCCCACCCATCCTCACCACCTTCTACAGAAGCACCATAGAGAGCGTTCTGACCAGCTGTCTCACTGTGTGGTGTGGAGGCTGCAGCGCCGCAGACTGGAAGAAGGTGAGGAGAGTGGTAAGAACAGCAGAGAGGCTCATCAGGTCTCCTCTTCCCTCCATTAAAGACATTTCATCCCAGTGCTGCTTGTCCCGATCCCGTAACATCATAAATGACCCCTTACACCCCCACCATGGACTGTTCTCCCAGCTGCCCTCTGGGAAGAGGCTTCAATGCAGGTTCCAGCAGATTTTGCAACAGCTTCTTCCCCACTGCCATCAGACTGATGAACTGTTGAATAAACTCTAAATAAAGTCAGACTCTGCATCACACTGATAAAACCAAACCAAAAAACACTGCATATTTACACCATATACATATTAATGCTCTGAACTTCCATATCAATGCAGTTTTGCACCATTTTTCTTTTTTATCACTGCTGCACTTTATGAAATGAAAATATTCATTTTACTGCTGCTCTTTCACTGTCTGAAAGCTGTGCAAAAAGAACCTTTGTTTTATAGACACAAATGACATTAAAAGTTGTCTAAGTCTAAGAGCTGGATCAACAGTGAGCTGAATAAAACTCCTTCTTCAAAGTTAGTTAGTCCTTGGTATAGCGCTGCTGCTATGACGTGGAGGTAGAGCGCACTAACCGTATACCAGCTGTTGCAGGTTTGAGTCCTGGCCCTGCCGACCTTTGCTGAATAGTCATTTAACCCACTTTCCTCTCCATAGTATCGAAAATAACAAAATAAAGGCCACTACAGCCTAAAAATAATATTTAAAAAATGCCCTTGGTATAAAATCCCGACATAAACTGGAGTCGACATTTCCAGGATTAAAGGATTAAAGTTTGTGGTGAGACGTCAAATGTTTTGTTGCCCAGTGCCACAGAGATCACGTTCTACGGTTACCATGGCAACCACTTCTTTGTGTACGCCACAGTTACACCATCAGTCAGAGGGGGCATCAGTCATTTCCTGAGCTTTTCAGCGTCACTTTCCTGACAAAAAGGTGTTAAATCTGATCTGCTTGTTTAAAAAAATTTTACGAGGAACTTGAGGAAAAACTGAGCATCAAGTTTCCACCTCTGACTCAAGCATCGGGACGAAAAGGTGACCCGAATAATCAAGAATACAATCCAGCAAGAGGCTTCAACTTCAGTTCAGTCCTGTTACAGAAAATGATGAAAAGAATTCAGTTTTATGATCATTTTCTTTTCCGCCACAGAAAACCTTCATCCCAGCTAGACGAGGCGTTTACTGCCTTCAAAGGGGCTCAGAGTTCAAAACAGTTTCAGAAGAACAAAGAAGAAGTTTGGGATCCTTTAGGAGATGAAGTTAAACTCCAGTAGGGTTGCCAACTGCCTGGGAAAAAAAAAAAGGGACACCTGATGTGCGTGGCAGGCAGGTGTCTGCCACTGGCAGCATGTTGGCTCTAATCTGACCGTCCGCCATGGGCTACAGAGAAAGCTCGCCAGTGTAGCTACCAGATCTGCTCAGGTCCTTCTTCATGCCAGTGATGCTACATAATTGGCTGAACGTTGCCAAATGATGTAAAACATTGTGGTTGCCCAGGCGACGATAATAACATCACCTGGCGTCCGTGTGCAGAGTCGGGAGCATCTTAGTATCTAACGTCTAAAGTTTTACTGATTGATGACAAAACTGGGAAAAAAAAATATGTTTATGGTGAACAAAGTAACTGGTAGACCATGGTGTGAAGGGGAAGAGCTAGTTAGCGCTGTGGCTAGCTGTGCTCAGTAGCTAACAGGTTAGCCTTTATTAGCTTGGTCAGTTAGCTGTATTAAGCTACACTACTATTAAGTTTGTGTCAACAACAAGTTAGTTTTCTACAAGCAGAAAAACTGTTTTATTTGTCTAAAATCTCTATAAAAGTAATTTTTATGATGTTCCATTTGTCCATCCCTTCCCTCAGATCTTAAAAGAACAAAAATAAGCTGAGACTTTTTATTTTTGTCACCTTGTTAAATGGCAGGGCTCAGTCTTAGGAGGCAGTACCTTCCTTCAAGACTCAGAATGATTGTTTTCTACTTTCGGCTACATTAAATCGCCAATGAAATGTAAAATAATAGCAAATATAGATAATAATATGTTGACGTCATAAGAAGGATCAGGGCCCCGAGCAGATCTGGTACCTACACCGGCACACCGTCCACTGTGCTTTATATTCATTATCAGAGACTTTTCCCACCCAGATATTTGTTTTTTCCCCATTCCTCCCTATATTTCTGCATCCATTTTTTTTTTTCGGAGGAGGAGCAACGCTATGCCACCAAAAGCAGCATCAGCATTTCAATTACTCCTTTCGTCCCCCATACTGCTCTGTTGTCTCCCGCTATCATCTCTATGAGCAACACTTGGCTCGACCAATGGGATGAGGGTATTCTGGATAGTTACATATATGCTGTCAGCTCATTGGTCACAACGCAGGTCAGGGCCCCGGAACAAGTTTACCGTAAGTTTTGTATCTAAAGTGCCCTTGTTTTTCTATTTTCCATTAGCTCTATACTATTTTTTTACTCTCACAGTAATACGGGACAAAGTGCGTTCCTTTACCAATAAATTCGGGACAGGTACTTCTATTTCTAAATACGGAACAATTCCGTTTTTCAAGGGACCGCTGGCAACCATAACCTCCAGCAGGATGAACACAGAGTTTGAGTTGTTTCTCCATCATGTGACATCCTGAGAGTTCAGGACTGAGAAATTAGAAAAACAAAAAGCTCAGCTGATGACATTCAACATAAAATATACTTCTCCTTTAAAAATGCTATTCCTAACTGTTTTAAAAAATTAATAAACGATAGTAAGATTGAAAAAAATATTATGTGATGAGTTACACATGAAGCCATACTGCTGATCCAACAGAGCCGGTCCAGGGCTGATCCCAGTTGGCTGAAGAGAAGCCCAACAGAACGCGATAATCAGAGACAAAAGGAGACAATTAACCAGAGCAGAGCCTGTGCAAAGCTGCCAGATTAGAAACTAAATAATGTCTTCATGTTTAAACGTTTGTTTCTGAGCCCAGAACCTGATGGCTCCTGTTCAAACCGACAGCGGAGAAACGATCAGTGAGTTAACAGACGGCTAACGGCAGCCAGCGTCTCTGTTCGTTTATTAGAAAGAAACGACCACGTGGAGGGAAGATCAAGGAAATGGATCCAATAACACTGAATGCTGTTCACACCATTTTATCTGGTAACAGACACGTGTTGGGCTTTTATCTGATGTGATTCTAGCGTCACTGTGAGCCTCTCTGGGTTTTGGTAGGCCTCCATTTGGCCCGTGTTCACATGATGGACTGAACAGAGCTTTAAGCTTCCCCTCAGATTCACCCCTGACCTCTGACCTGGGCTCCTTGGTCTCCATAATCCTGATGCCGCCACAGATCAGCTGCATTTAGACTGAGATTAAATTAAACACAGCTGGAGTCTTCTCTTGGATTTTTCTTCGTTCTGCTTTATATTTCCTTTGTGTTGGTCTATCCCATTAAATCTCAGTCAGGTTTGTGTTTATAGGGGAAATAAAAGCATTTAGAGTGAATGTAGAAAGCGTGACCATTGTTCAGGGTTCAGTTAGTCTGACTTGGCCTGATCACTGACGCTCAGCTGCCGTCCTCTTGTTCCTGCATCGCTGTGACTGACGGCCGGTCCACAGGGAGTTCAGTCACACGCTGGAAAATGTGTCGGAGTGAGCGTTAACCTCTGAACTCTGTCATGTATTGACAGCTCTCGTCGCACAGATTTCAGACAGAAGCTGAAAAGCTGACGAAAAACCCAGAGACGTGCAAAGGAGCAGGAGAGCAAACGTTCGATACACAGCAGTGAT